CCTATGTGCGGTGTATATTGCACCTGACCGGGTTCGTGACAACGAACTTATCGATACCCATTGCCGGTCCGTTTTCACTATAATGGAGAGTGCGACACCAATTGATGAGATAATCGTTCTGGGTGACTTCAATCTACCCGGCGTTTCCTGGAAACCATCTCACAGCGGCTTTCTCTACCCAGACCCTGTACACTCTGTATTTCATACAGGATAAGTTAGCCTTCTCGACTGCTATAGTACAGCAACACTATCTCAAATAAACCACGTAGTCAACGAAAACAACCGTAGCCTGGACCTCTGCTTCGTTAGCGTTCAGGACACCGCTCCTTTCATCTCCACGGCACCTTCTCCACTAGTAAAGCAAGTACATCATCACCCTCCCTTGGTTGTCACTGTTGCTGACAATCACGATCGGGTCTTTGACGACATTTCCACGGCCGTGTCATACGATTTCCGGAAAGCCGATCACCGTAGTATCGTCAACGTGCTATCTAGTATAGATTGGTAGAGCATCCTCGATCCTGATAATGTTGAAACCGCTGCGCAAACATTTTCACATGTCTTGGCTTATGTCATTGACAGGCACGTTCCGAAAAGAGTTCACCGTAAAATTTCTCATCCTCCCTGGCAGACGAGTGAACTCCGTAGGTTGAAGTCGGCCAAGAGAGCCGCATTAAGAAAATTCACTAAGTATCGTACGCTTTCGCTGAAACGTCACTACGTTAGGCTCAATTATGAGTTCAAGCGAGTTAGCCGTCGATGCTATTCGCGATATCAACGAGGGATTCAGAGGAAACTCAAGTCGCACCCGAAGTCTTTCTGGAATTACGTAAATGAGCAGCGCATTGAATCCGGCCTACCTTCTTCAATAGTGTTGAATGGAGCAGTTGCTTCCACTCCTCAGCAGATCTGTCGCTTGTTTTCTGAGAAGTTCGCCAGTGTTTTCACGAATGAGAGATTAACTGACGAACACGTTACCCTAGCAGCTAGTAATATTCCACTGTACGGTCAAACACTGGGTGCTATGGATGTCAACGTCGAGATGATTTCCACTGCCGCATCACAGCTCAAGTCGTCCTTCAATCCAGGACCCGATGGCGTTCCATCCGTATTCCTGAAAAAGCATATCGCCAGCTTGCTGATGCCCATGCTATTTCGATTGTCCATCACGAGTGGTACATTTCCATCTTGTTGGAAATTCGCACATATGTTTCCTTTCCACAAAAAGGGCAGCAAACGGGATGTGGACAGTTATCGTGGAATTACGTCGTTGAGTGCAGTTTAGAAGTTATTCGAGTTTGGTTATCATGGAGCCTCTACTCTCTCATTGTAAGCAGTATCTAAGTGGTGATCAACACGGCTTCACTTCCGGTCGTTCTACTTCCACAAATCTGCTGTGTTTGACATCGTATCTTACGGAAAGCATGGCAGAGAGGACTCAAACAGACGTCATATACACCGACTTGTCAGCTGCCTTCGATAAGCTAAACCATGCCATCGCGATTGCCAAGTTGCATAGACTTGGGGTCAGCGGCAACCTCTTGCGATGGTTTCGTTCATATCTCACTGATCGGCAACTGATGGTTGCCATTGGTGACAACCGGTCCAATATCTATCTAGCTACGTCAGGAATACCTCAAGGAAGTCACCTGGGACCTTTGATTTTCTTACTCTACTTCAATGACGTGAACTTGGTCATCGAAGGCCCACGACTATCGTATGCAGACGATCTTAAAATCTACCTACGAATCCGCTCGATTGATGACTGTCACTTCCTTCAACGTCAGTTCGAAGCCTTTGCCAGCTGGTGTAATTTGAACCGAATGGTGGTTAACCCCACTAAGTGTTCAGTGATCACTTTTACTCGGAAGAAAGAACCAATCACATTTGAATACAAACTTATCGGCACTGTAATCGACCGTGTGAACCATGTGAAAGATCTGGGTGTTATTCTGGATTACGTAAGCAGCACATCTCGTACGTTGTCGACAAGGCGTCTAGGACATTGGGATTTATCTTCAGGATAGCAAAGAATTTCTCCGATATCTACTTTTTGAAGTCACTGTACTGTTCCTTGGTGCGATCTATTCTGGAATATTGTTCTGTGGTCTGGAGTCCAAACTACAACAATGGTGCTGAGAGAGTTGAGTTCGTTCAACGCAGTTTTCTTCGATTCGCTCTGCGGAAGCTGCCTTGGAGAGACCCATTTCATCTGCCCAGCTATGAAAGTCGTTGCCAGCTGATTTATCTGGAGCCTCTCCGAACAAGAAGAGACACCTCTAGGGCCCTGTTCATTGCGGACACTTTACAAGGTAGAATTGATTGCAGTGCAATCTTGGGGCAAGTCAACATTAACGTCCAACCCCGTGCGCTACGTAACAACGTTTTGCTGAGATTGCCACTTCAGCGCACAAACTATGGCATGAACGGTGCAATAGGTGGGCTGCAACGAGTGTTCAATCGAGTCTCGGGCATCTTCGATTTCCATATGCCTCGACAGCTGCTAAGAAGATACTTCTCATCGTTCTTTTCTGGCACAGTTAACCGTGAATGATTGTGTGTTTCTTTATGTATTTTATTCTTAGTTTTTATTTTTTGACTTACCTATATAAGTTACTTAAATCATCATTGGGGCTATACACAGCCTGTTGATGCAGACAAATAAATAAATGTTGCAAATTCTGCACGTCACCTTTGAAAGCTTTAAGGTTCTACAAAGAGTCAAACCATTGTCCCGAATGAGAAAAATTTAACTATGAATTTAGAGATTGTTCAAGAAATTAAGATTAATTTCCATCCAGAGAAAAAAAAATCATCATTTCTGACTTATAAAACTCAAAAGACCTTCAAAGATTTAGTAGTTTGGGGAAATTGTGAGGATATTCTCATTAGATTATTCGAATTCTGGGCTTCAACACCAAGGGAAATAATAAAAGCTGCTAGGGTTGTGCTTGTGTGAATTCTTAAAATAGTAAACATTTCTGATCATAAATGGTTTGACTTACATAAAATTGAGGAATTCGAACGAAATCACGCATTGCCATATGATAGTTATTTGATAATTTTCTTTTTGCTCAAATGTTTTCTACCGTTTGCGTTGTGTGCGAGAGACGACGGTAGAGCATGCGTGTACGACTACAAACAGACTGTAGCGCAGGACCTAGGCGAGTAAGAGAGGTGACACAGTCGGAAGAAGTGTTAGTTTGTTTGCTAAAATGAACCATGCCCATTTTGTTATGGCAAGTTTGCTATAAGAAATGCTCCTCGTGTTTATTAGCGAAATTCACATCAAAGCTTGATTAATTGCGTAGGAAATCAGTTTGGTACGGCATTTGTGACCAGCATACACCTTCCGGTCGTATGAAACAGGTCAGATCCGCAGATACAAATTTTTGTTTTGAATTTCGGTATGGCAAAATAGTGAACTTTTCGTGAATATTAACGGGAGACCGTGAGTTCCGCCCACCTTTCATTTCCCATCTCGGTGTGTGAGAGTGGAATCAAAATTCACGTATATCAGTCATTCTTAAAATGCTTACAAGCTGGATCAACGATAGAGCTTTCGAATTTCATTGTATTAAAGTTTCTTTATTTAGTTTAATAATCGAGTTCTCAGTTTGCGGATTATAAATATCAGCATAATATCAGTTTCTGGACGAAATCTTCACGATTCAGCTTCTTCGAAAATTTGAATTTTCTGAGGTTTAAAATACTTCATACACTTTTTTTTCGATTACCTAATGTCTACCAAGATCAATTTTTGCGATTTTTTTTATTGTGTAGATTTAAGAACATCTCAACATTCGTTGCAAGACTTAGTAAGACTAACGTCTCGTAAATTGGAAATTTATCTCGTTAAATTTAACCGAATTGGTGTCCTAAAGTTGGTGCCATTTTTTGGTCTGGGGTAATTATTTCAAATCATTAGTTTTATTATAAGCAAAATGGACTCAACATGACGAAGTATCTTGGAATCCTATGGTAAATGCAACCAACAGCCTACCTTCGCTAAAGCATACTTTCATTTCAAACAAAAATCACCAGTTCCTCATGTAGGTGCTGTTTTCCATTCAAAGCACTCACTTAACCAATTAATATCGTGATAATCGAACCAAAACTAGGCCAAGAAAGCATTGATTGCGTTACGTGACGTCTGGTATCACAATCAGTTTCCACTTGAGGAGACGTGTCAAAAACTACCATCCAGCTGCCATTGATTGCGTTGATTCGCAATCAACCCAGACTGGTAATTAATAAGCTAATGATTTTGTTGTTACTCCATGCATCGTGTTCGATGGTAAGATAGAAAACAGAAACAGATATGCAGATAATCATGTAAGACATCGGAGTTTGCTGCATCATGGAAATGAGGAAACTACCAATTTCCTCAAACGTGTTTGTGTGTGCTGGTGCGATTTGGCGTCGTATCACACACATCAATCGATGTGCATCAGCTGGTGATTAAGATTCGATAATCAAAGATGTCCGGACGGACACTGGAGCAGTAGTATGGAAATGTATATAATTGATTCGCAGACAGTTTTTGGATACATGCACAGACACACATTATTGTTATGAGAGTTTGTGCAGTCGATCAGTCATTACCGGGAAGCATGCCTACGTTTTTTTTAAATTGAGATGTCGCCTCATTTGCATGGCATCCCTCTCGTCAAGGTGACAATAATTATCAACTTGAAGGTAATCCGTCGCGTAGTTAATTAATGCATTTAATTAGTTTTGTGGTTGTTCTTCATGGCGTGTAGAAGTAAATTGAAGTATTGATTTCTAGGTTCCTATTAAATATCGCCTTCAATAAATGTTCTGTGTCAACATTTGCTTAAATCATATTGAGATGGATACGAACATGAAAACGAGCATGCTCCGCTTAAAAGCTCACTTAATATGCGCGTAGCAAAGTGTCCATCTATGTTCGACTAGACGAACTGTCAGTGCTCCAAAGAGCATAAACAAAAATGAAAAAGCTAAAAATCGTTACTCACGTTATGCTCTCCCGGCTCGTGTTGTAATTGCTGTTTCGCTGTGAGCGCAGCAGCTTACTCCATTCGTGCATAAGCTGTCCGCCTTTGTTTTCCAACTCCGACCAAAGCTGCAGCTCGTCCATCGAGTGTAACGCCGAGGTGCTTCCACTGGCATTCGAACGGGGTGGCCTGAAATGGTTGGAATGGCTTACTCTTGAAAAGCTCAGTTCAAAATTCACCAAAAAGAAAAACTCACCTATCAATAGAATCCATGCTGCTGTTGAAGTCCAGCATATAGTCATCCGACGCGATGGAATCACATGGCGACAGAGTATCCAGCGATTCCGCTCGGGACAACCGGGTTCTGTTCTTCCGGATCGACGCCGGTGATTCATACGTCGCTGCCATAATCTTTCTGGGCTTTGGCACCGGGGGAACACTCTTCGAGAGAGATCTGTTGTTAATGCTATTGTTGTTGTTCAACGAAGAAACGGAATCTCGCAGCGTGGGAGTATCTTCAAGGATGTTAAGGTTGATCGACTCCAGGTCAATCATACTGTTGTCGTTGAGCGTCGGCTCGTCAAACACCAGTGCCGGTTGATCGGCAATCTCATCATCTATCAGAAAATCTCGCCCTCCATCTGAGAGGGATAGAGAGTTGGATGCATGCGTTGGAGTTCCCGGTGTAACGGGACTGGCGATTTCCTCCAGTTCCGGGGAGATCTCATCGATGTCTTTCTCCTTCTCCCGTTCTTCCGGTTTGCCTTCGACGGGTTTCTTGCGATTCTTACGAGCATCATCCGACTCGGTGCAACTGCTGACCAAACTATCCGTGGGGGATGTTTCGTCATCCAGCAAGATGGCATCACCGACGGCCGCTGCGATTTCAGCGAATTTGTATTCCTCAGAACGGAAGATGCGGTTACTGTCCGGTTGATCGGAAAGGGTGTTATCGTTGAAGCTATTCTGCACCTCGGATACGCTGTCCAAGTTGGTGGAGATGTCCATCGGGACCGGGGCCGAAAATGATGCTAGGAAAATGAAAAACAGTGGTTCATTAGTGGACAGTCTTCTCCTTAGGGATTATATTTATGATATCCCATGGAATATTTTCAATTTTATTATGGTCATATTGGCCATGATTTATAATTCAAGAAAGTTTTAAAACCTCGATTAAGATTAGCAATTTTATTTGGAATGGAACTATAAATAAATCAAATGTTAGAGATTTATTAGAAAGCAAATCTTGCTTAAAAATTCAATCATCTGTCTGAATTCATTATATTTTCAGAGAAATTTCTATGAATTCTGAACAAATCTCATATTCATCAAGATAATTTCCTGGTAAAAGGTAATATTTTTTATTCAAATACTCTTAAATTTCGTTAGTTCCTTTTTGCCTTTGGCGAACACCGTAAGGCTATAATAATGTCAGTTGAAAAACACATTTTCGACACAGCTTGACGAAATCGGAAAAAAAGTTCCACTTGGTATGTTTTATAAAAAGTTTAACCCAATCGTATATTTGGTTCCGGATAAACGGTAAATTACGCATATAACATAATAATACGCAGTATTTTTTTTCGAAGATTCCTGAACCGATTGGAGTACAACCAGTTAATTTTGTTTCCATAGAATCCTAGTAAATCTAGTCTCGAATGGACATTTGGTTCCAGTGATATGACCACAAATCCTGATTAATCCAACTACCGGTGTCAAGACGCTTTCTCGTGTAATTTTAAATAGTTGTATTTCATTAGGGTGGGTCAAGTATTTATGGTGGATCTCAACCCACTGCTCCCCTCTTCTCTTCCGATGGGTATTATAATCCACAAAAACGTTGTCAAATTTGATCAAATTTGCTTATGATCTGGATTTGCGGGAGAATTTTAAATTTTGTATGGGAAAATGTATGGGAAACGAAACGAACCTATTCATTTGCTTCCCAAAAATTCAAATATTGATCAAATTTCACCAAATCGCAGATTTGGGAATACTATACAGAACTACTTTGTCGAAGGCTGTAAATCAAGTCGACTTCTGAGATTTTTCTGATTTATTACCTCAGATTTTCAAGTCCGTGCGTTTAGAATCATCCTAAGGATCTAATTCTGGATCCGTTGCAGTTGCTGGTGATGGCATTTGGAGAAACTCTTCCAGACTGGCATACCATTCTCAAAAACAGGTAGAATATGTTGTTTATAGACAGCAAACTTAATTTTCAGGAATAAGATGGACTTCCTGTTGATAAGCGGATACAGTGGTATTAGTTTTGTAAATGTGCTCCCTAAAATGAACCTTGCTGTCTAGTGTAAATCCGAGGTACACTAACCTCTTTTGACCATTCCACCAGTGAACCACTTAATCATATCTTATTATTCACATACGGAACAAGTCTAGGTGATTGGGAAAGGGGAAAAATTATAACCTGGATCTTCGCCGCTTTGATACGGATCTTCCAGTTGTTGAACTACTCAGAGAGGACATCCAAGCCTCTGTACAAAATACTTTCAAACTTGGGAAACTCCCTTATGGGGTTCCCGGACTGAAAGACTGAAAGTATTCTTAATAAAGAAACAACAACAACATCAACGTCTCTCTGGACTTTGTCAGTAACACCTCCGATGACTTTTCGTTATAGACGATGGATGCGTCATCTGCAAACAGAGGCAACGTTCCACCATCTGGGAGAGCCGAAATGTCGGAGGTGAACAGGTGGAACAGGAAGGATTCAATGATACTTCCGTGCCAATTTTGAAAACATCAGAGGGATAGTTTTGGATGATCTTCACGAAGAATATTGGCAGACCATATCGTTGTAATTTGTGCCAAACATTATCGAATGCTTTTTCAACATCCAACAATGCCATAGCTGATGGTTTAAAGACAGACTTTTTCTGTCTGAGAATATTTGTTACTTGAGTCAGGTATTTATTTATTCTGACTTCTGATTTATTTAGGCCTATTGTTCCGCGCATATCAACAGGCGTAGCTTGTAGGTACGTGTGGAATACTGGGTTAAAGTGAAAGATTAGTAACTGTTTGTATAAAGATCAAATCTATTTGCAGTCTTCGAAAAAGTTTGTTTGTGTTGTATTCTCAATCTAAGTCGGAGATTTGGTGAAATTTGAACAATATTTGGATTTTTGGTAAACAAATGAATCGGATATAAATTTTTTCCGTAAATCGAGATCAGAACCAAATTCGTTCAAATTTTGCTGATGCTTGTTTTGACAATTTGATGTTTAACAATTATTGTATATCAAATCAGTTACGTATATTTGACATTTGATTTTGAACTAAATTGCCTTCAGGATACAAACTATTAATATTCATTCATCCCTTCTGACCCAGACATGGCGACCTGGTATTGTATATCAAACTGGGCCCAACAAAGTCACTTTCAATCGAAAATCGTCAAGCGACGACAAAGCTGTCAACCATCACTTTCAATTGAAAGCCATTCTGTCTTCTCTTCGAGCAGATTCCCTTCAACATCAACAGAACCACTTTCGATCAGTTTTCATGCTGTCTGTTTTGGCTTGACTCACGTGTTAATCTCGTCTTTCATTGTCAAATGAACTTACGTTCGCATTGAAGCGAAGCTGTTCGATCCAAATTCGCGCAGTGTTCTGAATTTTGTTGATTGTTCACTCGGTTCATGCGCATAGATTTGTACACGTGATGTCAAATTTATCATTGTCGGACGGTTCGTTTACCTATCAATATGGGTATTCTTGAAATCGGGGTGACGTATAGAGACTGAAAATCGGAATCGATGACCAAGCCATTTTGAAATACAATATGGCGGCTTCCAACTTCAGGAAAAATGGGAACTACTGACACCGTCACATCGATATGGGTATTTTTTTAACTGGGGTGACGTCTAAAGATTGAAAATCGATATGCGATGCCATTTTTTAAATCCAATATGGCGAGTTTAAGAAAAAGTGGGATATACTGTCAAATATCCATCAATATAGGTATGACGTATAGAGAATGAAAATCGATATTCGACACCATTTTGAAATCCAAGATAAAGGCTTCCAACCCATCAATCTGGGTAATTTTGAAATCGGGGTGTGGTCTACAGATTGGAAATCAATATTTGACGCCATGACGGTTTCCGATTTCATAAATACTGTAAAATCCCGATCAATATTGACACTTTTTCTGAAACCCGATGGCAACCATCTTGGACTCCAAAATGGCATCGAATATCGATTTTCTGCATCTACGCGTCATCCCTGTTGCGAAAATACCCATATCGTAGGCATCGGATATCCAATTTCCGTATCAGCGCGTTGTTCCCGTTCGGAAAATACCCATATCTTAGTGTATTTGACACTTTTCTGAAAACCGATGGCCGCCATATTGGATTTTCGGCATCTATGCGTCATTCCCGTTCCAAAAAATCAGTGGCGTCGCCCTAACCTCAATCTACCTGTTCAACAACTCTCAAAACGTAAACAAACAAAACAATATTGGTTGCAATGGATACAAATCAGTGAAACTAGAAGACCCTATGTCTTTTGAAACTGAATTGAATGTAAACATGACCCTAAATAACGTTTTCAAAGTTGTTGAACAGGTAAAAAGTGAGGTTACGCGACGCCACTGCAAAAAATCCATATCTTAGGGTGTTTGAAACGTTTTCTGAAAATAAATGGCCGCCAACTTGGATTCCAAAATGACGTTGAATATCGATAATCACGTCGTCCCGTTCCGAAAATAGCAATATTGTAGGGTATTCGATACTTTTTCTGAAAACCGATGGCCGCCATCTTGGATTCCAAAAAGGCATCGAATAACGATTTTCTTTCTACGTTCCGAAAATTCCCATATCTTAGGGTATTTGACACTTTTTTTTTGAAAACCAATGACCTCCATATTGGATAACAACATGGCATCGCATATCCAATTTCCGTATCAACGCGTTGTTCCCGTTCGGAAAATACCCATATCTTAGTGTATTTGACACTTTTCTGACAACCGATGGCCGCCATATTGGATTCCAAAATAGCGTCGAATATCGATTATCGGTATGTACGTGTCGTTCTCGTTCTGAAAATACCCATTTTAGACTTTACCTGAGCCCAATGGTCACCATCTTGGATTTCAAAATGGCGTCGTACATCGATTTTCGGCACCTTCACGTCGTCCCCGTTCCAAAAATACCCATCTTGGACTTCAGAATGGCCTCGTTAATTTAATTTTCGTTTAATATAAAATAGCAATTTATATTTACGGATACTATCCGGATACTATATTTTGAGTTCCGAATTGAAGTGAAAGTGGAAGAAACGAAGGAAGCAGTTTTTTGAGTTCATTCATTGCGTCAATTGAATCAAGTCTGCCTCAAATGAAATGAACTGAAGCACTTGACGAACGAAACAAGTGATAGTCCAATCATGTTTGAAAAGAGGAATGTTCATCGTGACTTGATAACTAGAAACACAATGACTTACACGAAAATGATATTGCTCGAAATGAAGCGATTCTGCGGAAAGTTCATTTACTTTTCCTTGTTTCGAAAATGCAGAACCCTGGTGTCAAACATTGGTAACACTCAGGCATGCTTCAGGTACCCATCAAAATCTCACAAATATACTTCACAGAGTATAGGAGTTTTGTAATTGGGGAAACTTAACATTGTAATACTGAGTATTTAGAGAAATTAATAACATTCCATGGCACATCAGTAAAGTGTAACTGCGTAAATTAAATTAACTTAATTTAAGTAAATTTCAGATGATTTTTAGGGATTTCTTAAAAATAGACTTTTATTGATTTAGATGATTAAATTGATTCATGTAGAGGCAATGACAAAGAGCGGAAAAGCGTATTTTCCAGTCATTTAGCCTGCTGCAAGACGAAAGCAATTTGCCGAATGCGGGTTAGGCCGAAAGGAAATACTATGTTAAATAGGTCATTAAACGAATTTTTAAATATATCCGCAAAGATACCAAAAACACACATTTTAGCACAAAACAATAGTCAAACAAATATGTCCAATACAATACAAGAATAAAGATGAATCCTTTTTCGATAAAAACTTCCAAAAATTAACTATTTTTGAGCTAACAGAGTGCTAGTACATGCCAGTTTCAAACCAAGCAAGAGGCTCCGAACTTTTTTCATATATAAGAATTTGTGTTTATGGTATTACTGTTCGTCATATGACGTCAATACCAATTTATTAAAGAAGACAAAAAGATGTGGATACATAATTTGTAGATGAAGAAAACACAAACCATTTTCAAGTTTTTAAGCTTCTGATTCTGGAAGGCCAGACCCTTAGATTTGTTGTTTTAAAAAGTGTTGTGAGCATTTTCGAAAAACAATAGTCATTCGTACATCTTATTTGTCTCAATGTATTTCTTTGGAATTTTATTAAGAATTTATTTATAATTATTCCAGGATTCCCTAAGACGTCTCTCAAAATTCTTATTAGGATTTTATTTGATATTTTCTCTGGGACTCTAGGAATTCTATCGAGAAAACTTTTACTCTATAAGTTTCTTCGGGTTTTTAAAAATTCTCGCGATATTTCACTTAAATTTCTTCCATTATTATTTTTGATCTTCCCTTAGAATACTCTTCAATATTATATTGGAATTCACGACAGAATTCTCTTGGAATTCACCTTACAATTTCTTTTAAATTTTACTTGGAATTATCTAGCAACTCTTCTCAGAATTTTCACCCATGAATTCAATGAATTACTTCTGTCAGAATTATGTTGACCTTATCCTCAGAATACTTTCTGCATAACTTCTTTGGAACTTTCTGCATAATTTCTATGGAATTATTATCTGAAATTTCCTCAAATTTCATGGCAATTAATTCTTTTTAAAATTCCCTGGAATGCTTACGGAAAATCCTTGAAAGTCACCTCAGGGTTCCGTTGAAAAGCTTTCAATAATAATAAATTTCTTGAAACTATAATCAGAATTCCTTTGGAAATCACCCCAGAGTTTATATAAACTCTTCATAATACCATAAGAATTCTCCTTTGCATTCGCTTGGAGTCATAATCTCCAAGAAATTAATCTCGCAATTTGTCTTGGATTTCCACTCAGATCTAATGAATTTTTTTCTAAGAATTTAAAGCAGTTTTTCTCAAAATTTCCTTGAAATTCTTCCTAAAATTAGCTAAGATTTATCCATAGCATTTCTTTTAAATTGTCAATCCTCATAGAAATTCTCAAAGTGCCAGAATCCGGAAAAATTACATGTGTCCGAATGCATTGAACATTTTCTGAGCCCATTATGTAGATTTTAAGTAATTCTTGGATTTTTTGTCATAACTGTCACCTTGAATATTTCTCTTAATCTAAGAATCATAATAATGGTCTGGCTTCTTCCCCCTTCTATGGATGCTCATGCATGCAGCCTTTCGTTGTATTGTGTTCGCGGTGATTGGATTGATTAAAAACCGTTTGTTGAGACCAGATGGAATTCAACTTTGAAATCTGTGTTAGAGAAATCGCTTTTCGCATGAAATCGGTGATTATTTCAATTATCATAGCAACAGTTGCATATTCCAATTATCAAAAGTTACATTTTGAAAAATGATAAAGCCTTAATTTTAACAGATTCTTAGCAAAAATTCCTATCGATTGGTGATACAATTATTGAAATTGGTCAAGGAGCAGCTGAGTTTATTAACGTTCAAAATCTTTCATAATTTTGTTACATGTTCCATTTTTGGTTTTCACAAAGTGTACCCCCATATAGATATCACAGACGTAGTCCTACGTCAAAACAAAACCCAAATTTGAAATCAATAAGTTCAATCAATAAGTCAACTTTTTGAAAAGATAATTTTGAATTGAACTTAAAAAACTCAGTTTTTTGCCGATGAGCAGTTTGGATTTCGTCATGGGTTGTTGAATTGAAAAAGTTTAATTGACACTCTATATTATAAAATTGGATCAAAATGCGAATGGCGATAGCATATGCATATTCGTGAGGGCAGGTCCATATTCGCCTTCATGTCATATATCGCAAGATTTTGTAAACATGTCTCCGTGAGTCTTTGAACAATAAGCCCCATCCTGACGCTTGATACTTTGATATCAAGTGGCTAGCCATCCGTCTGCATAACAGTAAATTTTCACCAAAACACAATTTTCAAAATACTCACACAACAGGGACGGGTTACCGGCGGTGATGGTAACCGAGCTGACATCCTCCTCATCGGCCGCCACCGCCTTCCCACCAGCTCTGTTGCGCAGCACATTGCTCTCATCGCTGCTACTCAGACTCAAACTGCTGCACTCCTTGGCTGCCATCGATTCACCTGCGTTGCACCAGGAAGTCCTTGAACTTCCCGACGAGGAAGTCTTGCTGCAGCGTGACTCAACCAAATCATTGATGATCGCTCCCTTCAAGCTCTTCTCCGATGAGTTGTTATCTCGTGCCAACTTTTCCTCTTCGAAACTTTCAACATCGGATGAAGCAATGGAATCCTTGCGTTCGATCGAATCAACCAGTTCCGATGATTCGTATCGATTATCGTTGATGTCGATGTCGTCGCTCAACTGTCTGGAAAGCTCGGAAGAGCGCACCAATCCACTCAGAGGGATCGGTTGCTGTTGGTGACCAACGGTATTGAATGCACTTGGAAGCTGTGGCAGCGCAAGGGAAACGATCGGTTCAGCAGTGAGGGTTTCCAGATCACGTACTTCGAACTTATGGCGACCGCTGAGAATCATTTCCAGATTCCGGTAGCGTTGGCGTGGCATTCGAATGTTGGACGTTGTGTCCACATCGGGGTTGGACTCCTGATCGAGATCAAACATATGATCGGTAGATGGTTCCCGCTGGTATTGGTGCAGAATACCTTTGCGACAAACGTTAGCAGCCTGTTTGGCACCCTTGGGGTCCATTGCATAGTGTGGAGCAGCCGAAGGGAGACTGATCGGTACCGGATACTGGGGCTTTGGAAGGCTGGAGCTGTGGAGTGTGAACTTTGCCACCGATGCTGGTTCCTGTCCGCTGGGTGGTTTTATTCTAGGATATCAAAAGAAAAGCGATTAGGAGTCAAGGTTGAGTGAATCATTACGATTTAATGGTGTGTTTACTCACAGTGAGTTAGCTGCGACATGCTGCTGCTGCTGGTTGGAGTCGTTTGCTGAGACACACTGCCGGGCGGTGGTATTATTTACGCTTGACTGTGATCGTTGCTCATCGGTACTTCCGCTCGTTGCCGCCGTACCACCGGTGACGGCAGAAGGAGGATTATGCGAAGTATTTTTATGCTCTGCTTGATCGCATTTCGTCATCACTTGTTGCGCGCCAGATTCTGATGATGCTATTTTCGTCGTGCCATGCGCCGATTGATATTTTGGCTGCGGCTTGTGAAGTGCACCGAAGCCGGTATGTTGTAATGCAGATGATCGTTCCTGTTGAACCTGCGAGGGTGCTTGCAGCAGCGGGGTAAATGTTGTGCGTGCTGAGGCCGCTGCGGATGCACTCTTGGAGCGGCGCTTGTCGGTGATGTAGACGTTATTATTGTTAGTTGTGTGAATGTTATTATTGTTGTTGGAATGTTGTTTGTCGTAGTCGATAATTGATTTCGGCTGGAGACCTGCCGATGCCGGTCGCACCACATTAGTTGAGCGGAAACCGAATCGATTGTTCCGGTATGGAGCACCATGTGAGTCCTTTTTGGGTGGCTGAAGGCGTGGCGTCGATCGACCTGTCGTTTTGGTTGTGTCATCGTCTGGTTGATCTGCTGAACCTGCTGTGACGAAGGAATTGAACAAAACAAGTGAACAAAAAATTACCATTTACGTAAATTTAGATTTGCGTACTTTTGACTATAAATAACGACTGACTGAAAGAGCAACCAAACACGGCAACTAGAAAGGCATTTGACCTCATAGCTCTTCAGAGACAATATGTCACTATTGTAATCGATCTTGTTTGCTCAAACAAGCGTTACTTGATCACCAACACACATGCAAAACTTACCCATATTGCCGTTCTTATCGCTAAAAATGCCATCTACTCCGGGATTGGAGATCACAGTTGCATTGTCTCTTTCCGTCGCTTTCTCCTTCTCCAGCCCACCGTACAGATGGTTCCCGTTGGAAGCTGTCGTCTGTGTTTTCTTAAGTGTACCGGTTCCTGAACCTGGCCCAGTGCCATCACCCACAGCTTTTGGTAACTTGCTCGCCGCGCTCGACTGATGTATTTTGTGCTTTTTGAATCCAAAGGACATGGCCGTACCCTTGGTCTCGAGGCCGGCTGCCTTTTTGGATGCCTTCTTACTTTCCGATTGACCCTGCAAATGTGCGGAGGAGGGAGAAAAGCGACTTCGTCAGTATCGTATCGTTCGTTATGGTATACTAAAGTTAGAAGAACAAAACGCTTCGCGTTTTGCTAATGTTGATTTGACGCTCGCCTTTAGTCACGCGTTTCTACGCGCCAGCTGTAGTTACTTTGATATATATATAAAAAAACTAGACTTTTTAAATAGAACACTTTCCACTCCTACTGAGTGTTGACTACTCACACATTGAACTTCAAACATAACGATGACGATAGTAGCTGAACGAGACGAAACAAAGCATCAAACAAACGTAAGAGATTCGTGTCCAAAGTCAATTTACCATTCGTTGTTCGTCGAGAGGAAAGCAACACTGTAGTGAATGCAAATAAAAGCGAAGAATGTAGCGGTGCTATTCCTCAAAGTGGAGTTCTTAATGCTTGATTGAACTTTCACCTTCTGGGAAATAAGGTCAGTACTAAAACAGAGCTTGATTGCCGTGTATAATCAATAAAATAAAACGTGAGTAAGGATAAAACCGTCGGTCTTGAATCTCAAGCATCGAACCACTGATGTAGCCAGTAGATAATCAAAGGCCTTCGGTGAGTGCCGATCTGATTTTCAAGGTCAATGCAGAAGAACAATGAATGACTGAGTGCGGAAAATAATAGTGGATACATTTGAGTGGTGTTGCCTTTGAACTACTGAGTGCGGTCGGTACAAACTGGTACAATAAGTGAGACCTTTTCCAAAGTTACCAGTTTCACCAAGTTATGAGCTCACGAAACGCTATCCTTTTAAAGTTTTTGTAAACAAAAATAGAAACTTAGGATTAAATGAGTTTAAGTTCAACTTTTGAAAACTTTTATGCTAAATATTGCCAGCATCGAAGTAGTTCACATAAAATCTGGAATGTTAAACGGATATTGGTTTAATATTTTTTCTGAATGTTCGAGATAAATTCTTGAACTACCGTAACGTGGTGTTTTTTAATTAAGAGCCACCAGTGTTAAAGTAGCTGAATGCTGTATCATAAAATTCTCTCATTCTCTCTCTCACCAATACAATCTGCATACTATGGCAAATGCAGTAATAGGTTTTAAAGGGTATCGAATAAGAAACGTTTAATATAGTTTGCTATCAGCCACCACTGCGCGCAAATATACTCTGTCCTAGAAATAAGAAAACAAAGTTTGTTAAGTGTTTGGTGTTGAATTAAAGTATCGTCCCTCTGTGCAAATATGTTTCGTTTAATCGTGCAAAGAAATAGCTGCGTGTTGCTAACCGTTAGGCGAACGACGGCCGTAAAGCGGTGAGAAAAGGTTCTTTCACAACACAATTTCTTTAAAGCAATTTTTACTCTTGGTCTCATTCTTTACATATTTCGATTCCTCCCTATGTTTATGGGCACAAGGAACTAGAGGTGAAAGATTTGAATAGCTCTGTTTTTGAGGAAAACGGGATTGAAATCTTTCATGTACGTTTTTTTAATAGAATACCAGCATATTCGGATTAGAAATTCCTGGTCTTTGCCCGTTTTTGTTTCCGAAATTATGGCTTTTTCCCAATTGTGCGATGTACATTTTATTTATATGTTAAAACAAAACGATTTTGCCGAAGCGATCAATAGGTAAAATGGGGCATTACAGAGACCGCTGTATTTTTCCTGGACATTGAATTTATTTTTGCGTTCTGGCTTCGCAATTTGCTCATGTTTTAACTACCTTGAAAATTGGTTCAGAACTCTTTACAAGATTTAATTGGAATTTTCTAAAGAATTTGCTCAAATTATTCAAACATAAATTTATGTTCTCTGCAGAACACTCAGAAAAATAATGGAATTCTTCCTGAGATTCTATTTGAATTTTTATGATTATTCCAAAAGATCACTGTACTCTTAAAGTCACTTAAATTCACCTCAGAATTGTCGTGAATTTCATCTCCGAAATGAATAGATTTTTTTCAGAAATATCTTTAAGTCCTCCTCTAAATTCGACTGAAAATTCACTTGTAATTCTCCTTAGAAATGTCTCCATAATCGTCATGGAATTTCCCACGGAATGTCTTAACAATTCTACTCTGCACTCACAAAATTCCCTTCGAGTTTTATTCAAATCTTTCTTGGAGTCTTCAAAACACTTCTTTTCTCTGAACTATTCATTCCTATATCTTCTTAAAATTCCTATGGAGTTTTCGTCAATATTCTCTTAAAAATTCTTTAAAGTGATTTACCCTGAACCTCTAGTCTTAACCAAGGATCTCGAAATTTGTTCAAGGTCTAGAATCCTATTTTCTCCGATTTTTCATCGAAGTTCACGGGCTTTTCCATCCCAGATTTTTCCCGATTTCCCTGTTCACTGGTCACCCAGTAAGCTCTGCCATTCTAAGATTGATATCAGCTATTTATTCGATGAATTTAGGTTCAATCTCCAAGCATAGTTATCTAACAGGCATAGCATAAATCCGACTCAGATTAGAGGATGAATGAAGTTTCCCTTGCAAATACATACTTTATGGATTTAAAACTATTGTGAAATAAGGTGGATGCAAATAATACTTTCATGCTCTATCGGACATCATTTCAAACGGTATGGGGGGTGGGCGCTGCGTTGTCAAACAATGAATAACAAGAGACTTAGTAAGGGATCATATTTTTGTTGAAAATCTATAAAATCCATTGCAAATCAAACTACAAAATAATTAGTGGGAGGGAGGTTTTGATAACTTGACGTTATTTTCAAGGAGGGTCGGAAGGAGGCTTAATTAAGAGTAAATTTTGCTTAAGTAACATATTTAATGAACACTTCCCTATTTTGAAAAAAAGTTTTATCTGATAACTGTAGGTCTAGTCATTTACGCATACCTACTGGCGTATGTACAAGCTTGTAGGCATGTGCGGACAGTGGCACCGGTGGTGTAGTGGTAAGCGTGATCATCTCTCATCCCAGCAGGCCTGGGTTCAATCCCAGTCGGCGCCACCGGGATGTTCTGAGGCATAACATCTGGACCTTGTATGATTGAAAATTCAACATAACTTTTGGCAGAGTCAGAATATTCTAGGAAATTCCAGAAACTAAGTCTGATTACTCAATTCAATGATCGATGTGTGGAATGTTTGGAAATTACAAGGAAGTTCTTAACATTTTGTAACCGTTCTGTTACAAAGGTCCAATACAATATTTTAAATATGCACCATGTGATCGAGCATTCAAATAAATTTGTATAACACTTGCGGTAAAACCCACTGGGCAGACGATACGGCCATGCTAAACGACCGACTGCTGAATAAGGCGCGCATGGTCGCGGCAAAATGGTGACACGGAGTCACGGGTGATGAGCTGAAGGGTTCTGCGATGCTTATAGAACGGCCATCGTTCACTTTATCTCAGGCGAGCGTGTAGACCAGAAGTGTCTGTGGAGTATACTTTAACAGAATACAAAGTGCGAGTTGTAAATCAAGGTTAAGTGTAAATCACCAATTCAGCTGATTCAGGTAAAGTCGAAGTCATCCTTGAAATTGGTCGAAGGCACTAATGGATGTTACCTCGTCGACCTAGGACCTTTTTCAACCAATCAAATTGTTTTCTGGTTGGCGAGTCAAGGACCGCCATTGCACGCTACGGTCTAGGGGACATTTAGTTACCGTGACCTAAACGTAAAGGACATCGTTCTCGGGCTGAAGGCCCTAAACGCCAAGGAGAATTTCCCTTCCCGGTTCGACAGAGGGCGGCCTTGCCGTCGTCGACCGGCTTCGTCAGAAGGAAGCGCCATCTCCACAAACTGCTATACCAGCCCCGGTAAAACCAACCCGCCATCGCACTACAGCCGACGTTCGGTCAGCCTCGCTTCATCCGCCATTGTCGGTATTGTACCGGAATTTCACTGAGCGGTGGTACCGCCATATTGCCGACAAGATCTGCCTTTAATCATCCGCCATCAAAAGGATCTTTCCGGAACCGCAGCGAGCGCACGCTGGTCTGCGGTCGTCGTAGTCGCCATCGTCATCAAGGGTATGTGCCAAGAAAATCTATCGTTAATTGGAGAAAATACAATGTTTAAATTGATCCGCGCTGTGTTTCAGTTTAAATGAAAGCTTGCGTGCCTTTTCGTCCACGTAGCCCCTCCAGTTTGCCCAGTAGTGCGCCGACTCTGAGACACAGTTCAAGAAGTTTCGTGCTGCTGAGTTGTTGTCGGGCAGAACATTAGTTTCAATTTGTTGGGCGCTAAGTGACACTCTGTTAATACTTTGTTAATTTCTTTGAATTTTCATTGAATTACATAACTTGCTTTGGACGTTTGCTCTATATCCTTTCGAAGTCACCAGAATGTTATTTCTTCTCTCCTGAACATTGCATTGAAACTAAACCGTTTGAAAATACAATATAGTTTTCTGTATATATGTATATCATCTCATTTTTGCCTATCGCTAAAAATCTGCTAATTATCAATTTTATCTAGATGAACGCGTCATTGGGATAGTACTAATGGATATTTTTGGTCACTATTGAAAATGTAGTCGATTGCTGAATTTATGTATGGGCCCAAATTAGGGGCATTTAGGCCGACATTACATCCATTTCTCCTATATATTCGAAGTACCCCAAGAAATTAAAATTCTTCTGGAAGTTAATCAAATTTCCTCAAGCCAACTCAGAAAGTCCCCTATAGTTTTTCAGACATCCAAAAATTACACACCAAAAAATTCTGAATTTTACTGGCGATGTAAACATCCATGCATGCAAACATTCATACATGTAAACTTCCTTTTCACGTAAACTAGCAACTTGCAAGAAATGTTGCAAACAAAAGTGGATAGTTGCATACAATATATGGGATATTACATGACATGTCTCATAAATTTACACGATCTATAATCTAAACTTGTATGATATATGACGCTCCATTTATGTGCATCATAGTAACGGAAATTTACACTACTTTTTTTAGCTGTGTATGTGATTTATATTGTGGCATCACTGCTGATTTTTAATTTGAGTCTGTTTAATTTTTTTGGG